CTTCCCCCTCTCCTCCGTGTCACGCTCAGCGGGGCTGGTGGCAGCGGGTGGCGGGGAACCGGGGGCTCATGGGGGTGCCCTGGGGCCGGGGACCCATGTCCCCCACCCTGCGCCACCCAGCTGGGGCCAGCCAGAGCCCCGACACGGCGGGGGTTACCGGGAAGCTCCCTGGCATCGGCGACGGCACCTTTCCCGCCGTTACGCCGTGCCGTGCTGGGGTGGGGAGGCATCGGGAATCCCCAGCACCCCACAGACCAGCACCCTCCGTCAACGGCAGGGTCTCGGGTCCCCCCTTGGCGAGTACTGCCTGGAGCCGGTGGGGTTCCCCACACGGTTTCACTTCCCCCCCGTGGCGTGTGCCCGAGGGCCGCCTCGCCGGGGCTGGGCGGCAGATTCCGGAGGCGCTGGCGGCAGCCGGGGCCGTGCCGTGCCGCCGCTGCCGGGCGCAGGTGCCGGGGCGGGTGCCCTCCCTCGGGGACGGCTCGGGTTTCTGGGCCCCGCCGGGGGCTGCTGGGCTGGCACCAGATGCTCCAGCCCCACCGGGGCTTTGTTCGGAGCAGTTTCCTTTTGGCTCAGCCGTGCCGCCCTCCCCTTGGCACCAGGCCCGCTGTGCGGGGGGAGCCCGCGGCACAACCCCAGCCTCTGCCGGCACCCCCAGCCACAAGCGACCTGGCTGCGGCTCCCACGCAGCTCATCTGTCCCGGTCCCTGGCGGTAAGTAGCCCTCTCCCCCTTCGGCCCGCTGGCTGCCCCAGTGTCAGGGTGGCATGGCGGTGGCCCCCGTGCCCGTCCCTCCATGGCGCCGGCGCGGGCAACGGAATCCCAAAAGCAGCTGTCCCCGCTGCGCCCAGCTGCCCTGGGGTTTCGTTACCCGCGCTCCCGCCCCCGCCTCGCCCCACGCACCCCCCACCCTGCTGCCCACCGCTGCCCTACACCGGGCCAGGCACTGGGCAAGAGCCGCTTGCCCCACTCCAACCCCTCCTATAGGGCTGGGGAAGCGTGTGGGGGCCACACTGGGAGAAGGGGGGGGTGTCGGGATGGGGGGTCACTGGTGCCCAGCCTCGCAGCTCAGCCTCCTGCACCGGGGCTGGGGGCTCTCCAGGGGTCTCGTGCCCCTGACGGCTAAAAGTAGCAGCTCGCTTCCTGGGGACTAACTGCCGGGGCGAGCGTGCCAAGTGGCAGCCCTGGCTGCTGGCCACAGTGTGGATGTGGCCACCTGCGCCAGGGCGGTGCAGGTCGTGAGATGCTGCACGAGCTTCCTGCCACCGCCGTCCCCTGACAGGCTCTCCCTGGCCCCCCGCAGTCCCCCAGTGCCAGGAGGGGTGAGCGGTGCCTGGGCAGGATCCGTCCCTCGGAGAGAGACGGCTTTGGAATGACACGATCACTCCCGCTGAGCGGGCAGCCAGAGAGCCATCGGGGATGTCGTGTCTGTCCAAAGCTCTTTCAGCGCCTCCGAGAGCCCCCCCCCCC